CCCGCCCGAGGCAGTCGAGCTCCGCGCCGGGGGCGGGAGGGGGCGGGGAGCGCGCCAGCCGGGGAGAGTGGGGGGCGATGGCGAAGCTCAGGGTGGCTTACGAGTACACGGAAGCCGAAGACAAGAGCATCCGGCTCGGCTTGTTCCTCATCATCTCCGGCGTCGTGTCGCTCTTCATCTTCGGCTTCTGCTGGCTCAGTCCCGCGCTGCAGGATCTGCAAGCCACGGCGGCCAACTGCACGGTGCTGTCGGTGCAGCAGATCGGCGAGGTGTTCGAGTGCACCTTCACCTGTGGCACCGACTGCAGGGGCACCTCGCAGTACCCCTGCGTCCAGGTATACGTGAACAACTCCGAGTCCAACTCCAGGGCGCTGCTACACAGCGATCAGCACCAGCTCCTGACCAACCCCAAGGTAAGGACGCCGGAGCTCCCGCCACCTAACGGTGCAGGTTCGAGGCCAGCTCCCGGGTTAGACCCCAGGGGAAGATCCGGAGTGTACTGGCCTTGCTAGAAGGAGATGGGAGGCATGAGTTGCTTGCACGCATCTGTGGAGCTCCAGGGCTCCAGTCCTCAGGGTGCGTTTGCCCGCGGGGCGGTGGTACCCAGAGTCTCTCTGCAAACACTGATCTTATTAGCTCTTCTTAGGTTTCTGAGCTCCCTCCAAGCCCAGGTGCAGCACCCACAGGTTTGCCTAAACTCAGGGTGCAAAGAAAGTTAACTTTTCCTTTGAATATAGCCATGGGCTAGCGGGGGACCCAGCTACTACAGCATAAGGTCAACCCGCGCCCGTGTTTGTGAACTGGCCTCAAGAACTCCCAATGACATGACCTTTGGAGAGGTTGAAGGGAATCTCTTCGCTCCTAGAAAATTCTTAGGCTTTTGCCTTTTAGTTCTAAACAGAGGTTTTTAACTTGAGGTCTAAAGATGGGCATTTTGGGGAGTGGGGTGGGGTGGGGATCAACAGCAATCGGGAATCCAGTGGGAAATTCTGATTTGTTTGTGTGGTGGGTTGGGAGGGAGGGGTCCTAACCGTTACTCTGGGTGTTTGGGGGAGACTCAGGAGCAGTTGGAGAACAGTAAACTTACCGAAAATAGAAAGTCCTCGGTGAAATATACCAAGCAGCCCTTTCCTGACAACTTCTTTGTTGTCACAAGCAAAGAGAAAAGAGAGAGAGAGAGAGAAAAAAATAGATAAAACCTGGTTAGGACTTGCGAGGAGCTTCTGGAGAGCAGAGAGGGAGACTCAGAAAAGTTCCCAGGGGGAAAAAAAGCGCTTATGAAAAGCAGTGCCCTCAGTCCATGAACTAATCGAGCTTTGCTGCGTGCCTGCTTCTGCGGGAGGGTTCTTTGATGCTTTGGGGCTTTTTTTTTTTTTTCTTCTTCCTCCCACTAAAGGTGTGTATGTTTATTTAAGTTGCTGACTCTTTTTACTCGGTGAGAGCTACGCTTGAAGACGGACAGGAAATCCTGCCCAGGAAAATGAATCCCGTGCACACCGGGAACACGTTCTGTTAAATGTGACAAGATATATAGTAATCTGAAATCTGAATTAATATTTTAAACTAGATTTGTGGAGAAACTCCAGAGTAACTCATTAATTTGGAAAGTTGGAAGTAATTACTCTTTAAAAATATGATTTGACTCCTCGTTGGAAGAGTCTCCTGGTAATGCATGAAGATTGGTTGGCCTTGAAAATGAAGATAATATGGGGGCAGTAAATATAGAAATAAACATTTCTAATACAGAGTCTAATGTCTGAGCCCTTTGACAAGTGGTAGGGTCTCAAAGGCAGGTGTGAGTTAATCTGCTTAGTGCTTAGTAATCTAAAAAGAAGTCCAGTGGTTTTAGAAAAACGCTTTTTTTAATCCGAATTAAATAAAATAAATATTTTTAAAAGGTGTCAAGTAGTAATTTAGTGATTTGGAAGATGCTCTGAGGTTTGTCATTTAGGAGTGGGCGTAGTTGTTGAAGCCCTGCTAATTACTCTTGAGATAGTGCTTTAATCAATAGTGAGTTATACATAGGCATATACATACATATTAGTAGATGGTTAATATCTAATTTTGGCATAGACAAATTAGAATTTACCACAGAAGACAACTGCACAATTTCCAGGCAGGATCTGGCAACTCAAATAAATTGGAACCATTAGGACATTGATTCTTAAATCACTTGGAAACAATCGCAATGTTTTATGTAATACTAAAAGTCTTTCTCTCCACTTGTAAATAATCTCATTCCCCCCCCCCATACCAGTTAAGAGCTTGGCAATAGTTGCTTTGAAGAGGTATCAAACAAAAGGTAGACAGACTATTCACAAAATTGTCAGAACTGAAAAAACGACATTATTTTATGGTCCAGAAAGTGATGAATGACCTCTCCATCAATTTAGACAAGGTTTCCTCTGCCAAATATGCATCTTTGTCCAAATTATGATGTAGTGTAGTATTTATAGAACAAACATCACTTTTTTGTCAATTAAGTGTTCGATTTGGAAATTTTTGTAAGCATTGGATAATGGAAAAATTCGGTGTAGCCAAAATACCATGGTGGAGTCAGGTGCATACTAAGATTTAGTTTCTACGGTGTCCTTGCAAATAGGCAGTCCCTATCTTCTGGTCCCATTGCACAGTGGCTACACAGAGCTATATCTTAGCTGCCTTACTTTCAATTTCCCAATCTATTCCTTTCATGTCCCAGCCACTTCCGACATTCTCTCCAAATCCAACCATCACCAGAAACTGTTGGGAAATGCCTTCTCATATAAACAGAGCAAGTACTCTTCCCTGGAGTTCCCTTAAGGTATCACAGCAAAGGACCAGGAGGGAACAGATGTTACAAATACGTAACCTGTTGAGCTGTGGACCGCTGAGGAAAATGCTGACTGACTTTCCACTAATAATTTCTTTAAAATATCTCTAAGTCCTGCTCCGTTTATTTATGTTTTCCCATCAACTCCTTATTTTCTGAGGGAATCGCTTTGTCTAAGTCACGTGATATTGAGTCAGCTAAGGACTTGGTTGGGATTAGGACCCACTATGTGGATTAACCGTAGCATCGTCTTGAGTTTTGGAGTTAGCTTCCTCTTGCTGCTGTTCCCAACACTGCACTGTCTCTTTGTGACTCACAGGGGTGTGTGTACTAAGCCCTCGACTGTGGCTGCACTGTGGGATTACTTGGGAGCTTTAAAAATAAATTCTTGTGCTTAGGTCCGGTTTTCAGGCACATTGATTTGGCCTTGCATGGGGCCTGAGTATGTAGTTTTCCAAGCCATGCAAGTGGTTCTAATATATATCCACGAGATGAAAATCAGTGTCTTGGGAAATGCGCTCATGAAAAGCCCTGCAGGGAAAGCAGCGGATTTCAAAACAAGTTCACTGTGATTAATGTTCATGTTTTCAACATAAAAGATGTGGATGCTACTGAATATAGAAACGGGTATTAAAATCGGGACTAAGAGAAATTCTCAAGGGCAGGAAGGGAGTCATTTAAAATTAGTGTGGGAAGCTCATTTTAAATTGATTAGTTTAAATGAAATGAACGTGCACAATTACAAACACTTGCTTTTGCAGTTACCTACCTTGGCCGGCAAAGAAAAGATGAATTTAGGGATTGCCCTCTGCTGTGTGGTATGAGAGTGGGTGATTCGAGACAGGCTCTGTGTTTAAGTTTTTGTTTTAGGGGCTTGCCCCCCCTCCCCACTTTGATAATAAAAACCCCTAAAATCAAAGAATAAAGTCTGTTTCTAAGAAACCGATGCTTTGACATTGAAAATAGAGTAGGAGGGCTTTGGGCTAGAAGAACATCCAGGAGGGTAGGAGACGGATCAACGCACTGTGGCTGCCAGTCACCTTAGCAAAGGACCTTCAGACCCACACTCATGTTCCCTGTCCCTGCACATGGAAGGGCCCACCCCATGGCTCCTGAGGAAATTCCTGAGCTTTGGCCTGTGTATTCAGTTTGATGTATTTTCTCCTCTAAGGTGAAATCCATCAGACCGGACCTGCGTAATGACACATAATGACAATGTAAATGGAGTTGTGCCAACACCTCTAGTCTTTATTTGTCCACAGAGAAGCGGCTTCCTTTGGAGGTTTTTTCCTTTGATGATATTAAATAATGCATTAAATATATATGATTATATGTTGATAGGTGATAGGTAAGTAGGTATATAGGTATATAGATAGGTAGGTAGATAGATGATAAATTGATAGACAGACTGATTCAGTTGAGCTTCTGGTTTCTCAAAAATCTATTGTGGCCAAAGGACAGGGCACAAAACCTTCAAGATATGTAAAGATGAGCTTGCTCATTAACATAACAGTCTGTGCAATGTCTACTGCCAGGTTCCAGACCAGAACAGAGATCAAAGTTCCTCGCACTCACGGAGTTTGCGTTTTGGTGGTGCAGGAAACGGGCATAGGTAAATTTACAGTGGAATTTCCTGTATTGATAGATAGATGTTTTTAAAGTTCTGGCAGGATGAGGGCATGGCTAGTGATAGGAGAGACCCGGAGCTGCCCTTGTTAAGTACAAGATGCTCACAGCAAGTGGGTATGATAAAATGCCCATTGCAGAGGCTTCACTGGGTACCCAGAGACTGAAAGGACAGAGAGGAACAAGACCCACAGCTTTCTGGAGGGACATTTGTTTCCACATGCTGAACAGATAGCAGAGGCAGAGACCCTGGGCCGAGCGGCCACTGGGTCTGTTTGAAGAACAGTGGGTCCAACAGTGAGTGGGATTGGGCCATGGAGACCTAGGCATTGAGCAGAGGGAGGTGGCATTGGAGTCCTGAAAAGCTAGCTTTTGGTGTATTATAAACATGGTGGTCAAGTAAATCCTCGACACCGAGCAAAGCTCAAATATAATCAAATGACTTTTAAAGATCCGAACCATTCATCTGACTGCTGAAAGTAATGTGTGTGCATGTCTGCGTGTGTGTGTGTGTGTGTGTGTGTGTGTGTGCGCATGCACACACGTGCTCACTCGTGCCGACTGAGAAGTAAGAGGCCAGTGTGGACACAGGGAGCTTGAGGAACCAGAATAGGCAAAAGAGAGGGGTGGCGTAGGTGAGTGGGCACCCGTGGTGAGATTTATCGTTGAGCTGATATGGCTAATGAAGGCAAGAGGAATGGGAGAGGGCCCCAAAGTTTTTTTTGGCAAGTGGGGGTGCCTTTTCAAAAGTGGGAGGGTTTAGACAGACAGATGTGGGTGAAAATCAAGGGTTCCATTTCACGCACGTCTGACAGGCACACGGATGAAAATGAGCCTTTGAGTTTCTGCCCCCAAGATGATGGCCTGAGCCAGGCGTTCTCAATCTTCCGAACGCTGCGGCCCTTTAATACAGTTCCTCATGGTGTGGTGACTCCCTTCCAAATTTTCCTGCTGTTCTGTAAATGGTAGCGTAAA